GTATGACTGTCAACATTTTTGAATGATAATCAGAATGATTGGGACGTACAGCTTCCGTTGGCTCTTTTCGCATAAAGAACATCAGAGCACATGTCAACGAAGATAGATCCATTCTCTTTGGTGTGCGTCAGAAAGGCCAGATTGCCTATTGAACTGGATATACCAGCAGTCCAAACATAAACTTCTGACGCAAACCCTTTAAAGTCAAGAATTTATACATTTGTTGCTCTTGCCCAAGCGAGAGAAGTGGCAGCTCAGAATATCAAATATGCACAACGAAAACAAAATCATGACAAAAAAAGTTAAAAAGCAATATTCAATGTTGGTGACAACTTACTGCTATATAGCTCAAGAAATGCCACCAGAAAAGGAGGAAAACTTGATACTACATCGGCAGGGCCATACACAATTGAAGCAGTGCATTACATGGGAACGTATAAGGTGTCAAATAAGAAAACACTGGTAAATGGAGCAAGACTTCTAAAGTACTTGTGGCCAGAGGAACCGAAATCGGAGAGGAAGGACGAACAAGGCACAGGACAAAAGGAGAAATCGAAGAAGGACGGGTAGTCAACAAATGTCAGTGAACGTCACCGTGCCGACAAATCGGAGGAAATATTATAAGACATGGAGAAAAATCTACCACCAAAGAAAAGATAGAGCAAGCACCAATCCACGAGAGATGAAACCAAGGAGTCCAGTGATGATACTCTTTCCTGCTGAAAGAGTAACATCCTATCCCATTGCATTTTTCCTGTGGAAGCTAAATGGCAAAAGGAAAAACCCAAAAAATAATTGGTATGGCTACAAAACACTTTCACGAACACAGAGAAAAATCTTTTTATGTAAACAGATCTAGATGTGCTCCTCCTGAGCAGGTGACACAGATGAGAGGTGGTGGAAATGGCTTATTCCGACCATTCAGTTACATCATCTTCGGTGTTCAAACGAACCTTGTCCTGATCAGAGACTATGTTATAAATCACTTAAAGGAAACCATGGAAAATGTTGAAAATCGTACGGTACATGAATATGTAAATCGATCTAGAATGAGAAAAAAGGACATAGGGAACGGATGTAGAAACACAAGCAATGACTGACAAACTTGAAACTGATAAAGTGATACGGAAAGCCTCATTTAAGTGGTTGGAATTTAAACCTTGCCTCCAAAGTGAAAATGTTTCTCAGTGGTGCATTTACATGCGAAATGTACGTGCCCCCTATGAACCTATCCTTTCAGTGTTGAACACTTTTTATTCAAGAGAACCGTATGTGGGATTAAAGAACTACATCCCCAAGATATACTGGTCCGTACGGTCGTCAAAATCCCTGAAAGTGGCATTGGTCAATACACACGATGACGAACGTATACTGATGTCCAAAGACTTCGATCACAACATCTTTGTATTAAGCTTTACGGATGTCCCATTCGACATTGGCAGAGGACTCGTTTTGAAAGATTTTGACCCAAACTTGTTCAACGTACTTTGTATCTTCACCAGCTTAGATACAATTAAGAGATTCGATAGTTTATGTCAGAAACACGATAAACTATATCGTTATATAACGTACATATATAACTCGCATGTTTGCTTATGAAATAGGTAGTATATGTAGTAAAGGCATATTTTACACGTACTCTAACACTAGTGTAACGTCATATTCAATGACATCATTGCATTGTCTCCGCTTCAAAAGGATGCAACAGAAAGGTATTCGGAAAAATCTTCTGGTCTTACAGGACATTGTTTACTTTTTCACAGACAAGAGCATTGTATATGATCGAATCTTAGACGTGTACCAATGTAACTTTTAAGATATTATGAAACCTTAAATGATTTGATATGTCACTTGCCCAGAGGCAAGAGGCATACACAACTATTGAACTTCTTTAATAACAAGATAATCTGGTAATACTTTAAATGTTCTACTGACTGTATCAAACGAGTTCAATAATTGCATATAACTCGAGCATTTAGCCTAGTGGCATATCAAATTATTTTACGAGTTAAATGCATTTCGTATTGTGTTGACACATGTGTTAAAGTGTTTTATCACATACTGTAGTTTATATTATCAGTAAATCTACAAGTCACTATTCATATATGGAAATCTAGCAAAGACAGTAGTGTTAGTGCATACTCGTCCAATGCCACTTATTTACCATCATCCCTTCAACGTATTTTAAGAACTCTCGTTTAATTAATTTCCGTTATATGTACACTAGATAACTTTAAAAAGACCAAGTTAAAACAAATTTGGTATATTATGTAAAATGTCCAAGATGACAACGAACAATTAGATGGTCAATAATGATAAAAGCTGACGTGGTGAAATATTATTTACTTTGTGCTGCGTAACACGTAAATGTGATAACGTTATTGTAACATGATGATTAAGGAGTTGAACTGTTGTTTCATGAACGCATTGAAGGATGTTTTAGCACGTCAGTATTTAACGTGATAGTGTTTTCATGAATCAAGAAACATAAATGACATTCAAATTACCGGATTCTTACCATTACATACGCAGTGCTGTTTTCCTTGCATTTTTTTCTTCGGCTTAAGTATGTTTTTAAACTGTTCTTATCTCGCCGACACTTGCTCTGTACCAATCAAGGCCTGTGAGATACTCTTCTTGTCAGAACGTAATAAATAACCAATATTGTTGAAATTAAAGATCGTTCGTATTGTTGTTAATTATAAGTTTTCATAATGCGAGATTTTAGCAAGTCTGTCGATTCAAAGGTCATAAATTCGTGAAATGTCTCCCATTTACTGAACTGCTTCTGTCAGCAAGTATTCAATATTTATACAAGAAAAACAAAATAATAATCCCTGTTAAGTTTAGCGAAACATTGAAATATACCAACAATATCCGTTGAGCTTACATTTGTAGTATCGATATTGGTGACCTTAACTTGTGACCTACCCCAGTCTTATTAAAACTTGTGCCGAAAAATATTTTATAGATATGCAGCTTGATGACCAGATTTTTCGGTAAACTTCTATTTTAAGGTAATTTCGACCTTGACCTTTGAGCGTATGGGCGGGCGGATTAGATGCTCTAATAGAGGAGAACACTAATTACAGTATCATTGGTATATGTTCGTGTATAGAGGTTGGTGTTTCTTTTCCCTAAGATCCGGGTCGCTTTTCTACGGGGTCACTTTTTTCACAGGACGAAGTAAAAGTATATAGTTAGGGGTATGTTTTCTACGGCTGCCCGGGTAGGATTTCTACGTAGAGAAACGACCCCGGGTAAGATTTCTATCGTAGAAAACTGACCCCGGGAAGGTTTTCTATGTAGAGAAACGACCCCGGGTAAGATTTATATCGTAGAAAAACGACCCCGGGTAGGTTTTCTACGCGGGTCACATTTTCATGTTACACCGCATCGCGCAATGCGGAAAAGGCGACGTGATGAAATTAAAACCTTTTACAATATATTTACCGTATAAATTAGAAAGATGAGATTAATTTTTCAATATTTGCAAATATGGGGTGTGCTAAATCTGACTGACTGACTCGTTTTTGTCTAAAATTCTCAGGGGAAAATTTGATATTTTCAAAATGGTAGCCAGTCCAAAGCATTTTCATGGTTTCTGATGCTGGTAGTTGGAATGAGAGAAAGATACTCTTTCATGCCCAGTATGTAGGATAAGGAAATTCCACCCTCGGGATTTTCAAATTAAGCAATACCCTCGACAAAGCCTCGGATTTTACCAAATTTGAAAACCCCACGGTTGGGATTTCTCTATCCCACACCCCTGGGTATGAAAGAGTCTTATAATATTCATGGGACCTAATTATAGAAATCTTCAATGTATATTTGTATAAAACTCGAAAACCAGTTCGTTTTTACCAAGTGCATGCTATGTCAGTCTTATACTGTTATAATGTATTTTAAGGAACTCCTTATTTTTTTTATCTATTATTTACCTTTTATTATTTTACCTTTTACCTTTTGATCTTCCGGGATAAATCGCGGACTTTATTGTAATATAGCAAAGTTATAATCCTTATGATTTCACAGATTTTATTTCCGACACTCAGACACATGAAAATGTGTAACATGAGGTACATGTACATGCATTCTGATTTCACATATTAAATTTTGACAGGATGGACAGATGCATGCATGTATACAAGCAAGATTGTATTGACACTCAGACACATAATATGTGTTACATGAGGAAATAAAGTTGCAGATATGAAAAATGAAGTACAATATACATATTTGTATACACATGTATAACTGAAAGAATGGACAGTTCAATTTAGAACCGGTACGGTATAGTAATATGATATGACATACAATGGAAAATACAAAACAAACATAAAAAAACAACCATACATATAATTGCCAAGTTATTTAACTATTAACAGTTATACATATGCCTCATTCACAAAAGAGGAGCCATTTTGGTTAGGAAAATAGATAAACCTGTCAGAACTCGTTGATTGCATAATGATAAAAGACCTTTAAACTTATAAATATTTGGGTTTGTGCAATAATATAGAAAGGCGATAAAACATGAACAATAGAAGCCAATGGGAGGTCGGAACGCGTTGTGGATAACGCACTCGCCTTTCACCAAGGCTGCCGGGGTTCGAATCCCCTATCGGGCGTGAAAAGTTATGAGGTCACCCGCCCATCCTTTTTTTTTTTATCCGGGTACTCCGGTTTCCTCCCACGTTAAGACCCCCATGTGGGCTATCATCCGGGCCAACAAGAGTGATTGATATAAGTATATAACTTGTTTCATACCTGTTGTAAAATAAATAAAGTGTGTATATCCGTATAAAAGCCATTTTGGTCTCTGTGGAGTATAACATATAGATAGATAGTAAGAGATGACAAACAAACACCTGCGATCATAACAAAGTCGACATTACGTATGAAAATATCTCTTTATTCCTGGATTGGGCTTTTAGTCCTTGTCCGGGTCAGGGGCCGGCGTACAAGATTTACCGATTACCGACTTTACAAACATACTGCAGATGGTGACCAAAGGATTTTCTAATAGTTTCTTCCGGGATAAATCGCGGGCACAACATATTCCGGCAAACGTACGAAAAACAAACTCTTAAACTATGCTAATTGACATTTCGTCCGATTACGGATACGTTGTTTTAGTCGTATCGTCCACATGGATTCTTTTAAACTGGATGGGTATGAAGGTGTTCGAGGCACGACGGGTGTACTCCGTACCGGTGAGATGACATTTTATTCACCGCTTTCTTTTATAACGGTTGGACCGATTGGGAAAGTCACGGACTGAGAATAAATCCGTGGAATAGCCAATGTTAGTTATCGATAAAAAAAACATGTCTGCTATTTATATGGAATTACAGCACTGTTGTCTGATCTTGTTTATCTGCAAATTCTCGACAAATGATCAATTCATATACACAAACAAATCGGTCGTTCCTCATAAATGGAAAGACCATATTCTAAATTTAGAAAGGACGTACGTATACCCGTTCTACATATTAACACTAGATCTAGATCACACCCTCTACCTGTATAAGTGAAGATGGAGTCGCTTGGTTTGCCTCCTGCTTTCGGGTTTGTTGTCCTTACAACCGTTGCCTCGGTTTTTCTGTTGCAATGGTTAGGGATAAAAGTTGCTATGGCCAGGAAGAAGTATGAAGTTTCTGTAAGTCTTTATATCAAATTAGGTCTACTCTTGATTTTGTTGTTGTTATTTGACTTAAGGTTCAACAAGCCCCCTAAAAGGTGCTGTAGTCATCTAAAATGTCAATCCCCTGATATGTCATGTTCAAAGACCTCAATTAAAAATCGGAACTTATATATGTTATTTGTATATATATTGAACTTGTACATTGGCTATACAAAAAATACATAGCCAGGTTATAACCATATAGGAGCCTGAAGTTCTGTCAATATTGAATAATAATAGTAATACAAAAAAAAATCCCCCTAAAAGCATATTAGGGGTATCTTTTTGTATTAATATTATTATTCATTATTGACGGATCTTCAGGCTCCTATGGGTTAACGTATTAAAAAATAAGGCATTAAGGCTGATGTCTTCATAGAAATAACTCTGGATTCATAACATGTCAGTCTCTTTTGTGATCCAACTGAGTGCTGAGAAATGACCCATAATTCATTGAATATACAAAATAGTTAAAGCTGCTGTCTGTTCTTTGTTTGTATTTCTTATCTTGGTGTAATTGTCGGTTGTCGGTCACCTATGCAAATCAAAACGTAGATTGAAGCCTTGATAATAAACAGACATCACTAATTATAATCACAGGGACCTGACAATTTGTTACTGGTATATTTGGACCTAAATTAATTGGTGTTTAGAGTAGTTTTACACGTTTGGGGGGTTTAGATCGACTTTCGGTAAAAATGCCAACCCCAATGATTATATATAGGAGCTCTCGATGTCGAGAAATCGACCCCACCTAACTTTCTTGCATCAAAAATCACATTTCTATTTGTTGTACCAAAAAATGCTTGGTATCGTTGGAAAGATGGATAATTTTTCTTACTCAAACCTCCTATATGCACACCAAATGTATTCTCCTTCTGTGGACATGATCTCTGTTTCCTCCAAAAACACACACCGTTTCAGATTTTCAAATTTTTCGCTGTCAGGCTGCCACTTTTTTTTTAATATTAATGCGGTTTTGAGAAAGAAAGATTATCCATCTTTCCAACACAATACCAAGCATTTTTTCATACAACAAATAGAAATGTAGTTTTTGATGCAAGAAAGTTTTTGATGCAAGAAAGTTTTTGATGCAAGAAAGTTAGGTAAGGGTTGACATTTCTCAACATCAAGAGTTTTCCGCCCTTAGGTTGGCATTTTTACTGAAAGTCAATCTAAACCCCCCAAACGTGTAAAATTACTCTAAACACCTTAGTTTAGATCCAAATATAGCTGTAACAAATTCTCAGGTCCCTGCATCCTCGATATCCAGGGGTTATATATGCTCACTTTCGCTCTCTACACCCCTGGAATATATATATCATAGCAAAATTGAAGGCTGGGTGTGCGCCACCTTGTTGATGAGACAAGAAGACTAGTTCGATCCTTTGATATACATCAAAAGAATATCGCGGTCATCTAAAGGTAAAAATTGACAGGCTTTGAAGTCCAGCGTCCCTCCTTTGTAATCTTCAAAGGACAGTTATCAGACTAGTGATTTTTTTTTTTTACTGAGACCAATCAAACAGCTATCTTCTGCCTTCAATTTTGTTATGACATATTCCAGGGGTGTAGAGAGCGAAAGTTAGCGTAACACCTGGATATCGAGGATGAGGTCCCTGCAATGACCCATACAACTACTCACCGCACACTCGATGTTGCTGGACTATTGAGTGAGTCACAGGATTATAATGGAAAGGTAGCTTGCCAGTAAGGCAGTATTTCCCCCTTAAAGTCCTTAGTTGTTACATTAATTATAGTACTTGTAGATAAAGGTTTACTCAAGTTATATTTAGGACCCTGATTTTCTTTTTTGACCCTGATGTTCAAAATCCGATCCCATCTGTATTGTGACCCGAGTTAAATGGGTTATATTTTATCACACATGCATGTATGTCATACTATTAACAATTTGTAAACTTTAAAGTCTTCTCCAAAGAGAGGCTTTTTTTGCTCACACGTTCATGGAATAGGTATAGATTACTATTGCAAAATTTTGTAGACTCTTTTGCCCTTTGTTAGATTTGGAAGAAAATATCCATGCATCACAAATGTGTCCCATCATAAAGGAATGTGGTACAGACCAGTAGACTCCTGTTACATAGAACTACACATATAGAAATGTAATGAGGAAAAGCATTAACTAAATCTAAAGTTGACCTGGAGAGAAATATCTAAGTTCTGATAAATTAAATGACTTCACAAAATTTGTGATTTTCCCCCCAGAGATTATAATGACAAACATGTTTTTTTGTTTTCATATTCAGTACCCAAAAATGTACAGCGGTGATGACCGTTTCAACTGTGTTCAGAGAGCGCACCAGAACACGTATGTACACCATTATTACCCATCAGACCATGTGTGTTATCTGTGATGTTATGTGTGTTGTCTGTGATGTTACCCATCAGACCATGTGTGTTATCTGTGATATTACCCATCAGACCATGTGTGTTATCTGTGATGTTACCCATCAGACCATGTGTGTTATCTGTGATGTTACCCATCAGACCATGTGTGTTATCTGTGATGTACCGTTCAGACCATGTGTGTTATCTGTGATGTTATCCATCAGACCATGTGTGTTATCTGTGATGTAACCCATCAGACCATGTGTGTTATCTATGATGTACCGTTCAGACCATGTGTGTTATCTATGATGTACCGTTCAGACCATGTGTGTTATCTTAATGTTACCCATCAGACCATATGTGTTATTTGTGTTGTTACCCATCAGACCATGGGTATTATCTGTGATGTTACCCATCAGACCATGTGTGTTATCTTAATGTTACCCATCAGACCATGTGTGTTATCTGTGATGTTACCCATCAGACCATGTGTGTTATCTGTAATGTACCGTTCAGACCATGTGTGTTATCTGTGATGTACCGTTCAGACCCTGTGTGTTATCTGTGATGTTACCCATCAGACCATGTGTGTTTTCTGTGATGTACCGTTCAGACCATGTGTGTTATCTGTGATGT